GTCAGCGCAGGTCTGCCAGAGCGTGATTTGTTCTGAGGTCCGATCCTGGGGTCCATTGCTGCGGTGTCAGCGCAGGGCCTGCCGGAGCGTGATTTGTTCTGAGGTCCGATCCTGGGGTCCATTGCTGGGATGTCAGCGCAGGTCTGCCAGAGCGTGATTTGTTCTGAGGTCCGATCCTGGGGTCCATTGCTGCGGTGTCAGCGTAGGCCTGCCAGAGCGTGATCTGCGACGGCGTGGCTTAGATTTCTCACCAGCGGGAGCGGTAGGCCGGCGCATGACGCGACAAAGTTAGCGGTGGGCGGCGGCGGACCGGGATGGCGGGCGCCGCGTTTCGTCAGCACCTCCGGGCACTCTCTCCTCCGCATAATGAACTGGTGCTGAGGATCAACTACGGAGCGTGAAAGGATCACTCCCAAACCCATATGCACAGGTCCAGCCCATCAGGCACTATTCAGAAGATGGTTTGATGTCGGACGACCGCAGCTGACAGTGACGGGCTGGTGTCGGACGACGTTAACTCACGGTGACGGTTTGATGTCGGACGACCTCAGCTCACGATGGCGGGTTGATGTCGGACGACCTTAGATGACTGTGACGGGCTGATGTCGGACGACCTCAGCTCACGGCGACAGGTTGATGTCGGACGACCTTAGATGACTGTGACGGGCTGATGTCGGACGACCTCAGCTCACGGTGACGGGTTGATGTCGGACGACCTTAGATGACTGTGACAGGCTGATGTCGGACGACCTCAGCTAACGGTGGCGGGTTGATGTCGGACGACCTTAGATGACTGTGACGGGCTGATGTCGGACGACCTCAGCTCACGGCGACGGGTTGATGTCGGACGACCTCAGCTCACGGTGACGGATTGATGTCGGACGACCTTAGATGACTGTGACAGGCTGATGTCGGACGACCTCAGCTCACGGCGACGGGTTGATGTCGGACGACCTTAGATGACTGTGACAGGCTGATGTCGGACAACCTCAGCTCACGGCGACGGATTGATGTCGGACGACCTTAGATGACTGTGACAGGCTGATGTCGGACGACCTCAGCTCACGGCGACGGGTTGATGTCGGACGACCTTAGATGACTGTGACAGGCTGATGTCGGACGACCTCAGCTCACGGCGACGGGTTGATGTCGGACGACCTTAGATGACCGTGACGGGCTGATGTCGAATGACCTCAGCTCACGGCGACGGGTTGATGTCGGACGACCTCAGCTCATGGTGACCAGCTCGTTCACCTTTGAGTCGAAATGCGCTTGTCATGGTTGAGAGTGTCAGTGCCCAACATGTCCTCTGGTGGCTATCGCCAACGCTGGCGCTAGCACAGTGTGGGATGCTTACAGACCGCATCGGCTCATAATTCTGTTTATGCCAGACTGCCGTCAGTCGCTGGCCAAGCTCCGTATCATGTGCTCTTTTCGACAATGTGAGATAATCGCCATGTAATACGCAGCATGACCCGAGAATATTACCAGCTACCAGCAGCTGTACTTGTGCTCTTTGACGACAGCTCAGATTCGTATTGCACACTCCGGGCTTGTTCAGCACGATATGCAATATCAGCAAATTATTCGGGGTTCCTTCAGTGAACCGAAACGCTTAGCAAGCCGAAACCTTGAAACCACGAAGTTTCAAGACTGCGCCAACCGATGTATTCAAACCAGCATGGTCATGGCTCAGCGGAGGCGTGCCTGAGCGCCACAGGATCGTTCGGCTCCTTTTCAGCTGCTCTCGCCCAGGGCCGGGGCAGTTTGGTTCGACCCCTTTGATTTGGTACGCGATGACCTCGGTCCCCCCGTGACTTACTCTGGGGTAAACTTGACCTTGTGCCAAGTTCGCCAAGTCCGGAGGTAACGCGCGGTCTTCGGTCTTGGCTCTGCTGTTGGACGGGTGATTTGATAATTTGCCGCGTTTTGGCCATATTTTTGTATGGGGACCATAGCGAGGTGCCCCGGACGCCTGACGGAGTCGGCTAGCAATCCAACATAACTGCCAGCCCGAAGTGAAAGCAGCGCAGCCACACTTACATAACTTGTTGACCTAAAATGTTTGCTGCCGACGAAGTAGCCTGGGGCGTTCACGTCAGCAAAGCCAGCCCGGCGTACTCCCGTCAGTATAGCCGGCCTAGTGCGCTCCTGTCAGCATGGCCAGCCTGATGTGCTCTCATCAGTATGACCGGCCTAGTGCGCTCCCGTCAGTATGCCCAGCCTGATGTGTTCCCGTCAGTATGCCCAGCCTGATGTGTTCCCGTCAGCATGCCCAGCCTGATGTGTTCCCGTCAGTATGCCAGCCTGATGTGTTCCCGTCAGTATGGCCAGCCTGATGTTCCCGTCAGTGGCCAGCCTGATGTGCCCGTCAGCATGGCCAGCCTGGTGTGTTCCCGTCAGTGTGGCCAGCCTGTGTGTTCCCGTCAGTGTGGCCAGCCTGGTATGTTCCCGTCAGTATGGCCAGCCTGGTATGTTCCCGTCAGCATGGCCAGCCTGGTGTGTTCCCGTCGGCATGGCCAGCCTGGTGTGTCCCCGTCAGCATGGCCAGCCTGGTGTGTTCCCGTCAGTCCGTTCCTTGGGCCGCCGACAGCTAATTTTCACACGGTCTTGACCTGTCCTCGACCTGCCCATCCGCACGTCTGACCGAGAACCGCCCTGCTGAACCGCACTGCTGAGCCGCCCTGCTAAACCGCACTGCCACGCAAATGCCAGGGTGAAAATACAACACATAGAGCAGCCACACACTCTGGCAGTCGCCCCGTCCCCCGTCTGGAGCACCGAGCGCCACGGGTCAGCACCCGGGTGCACGAGCAGGACATGCCGACTGGAGAGACGTCTGCTCTCCTCGCTCTTTGTCACCGGCTGCTGACCCGTGGCGTTGGTCTGAGTTGAGCGAAGAGACGGCTGCTCTCCTCGCTCCGTGACACTGCCCTGTGGGGATTGTCTGGGTCGCGCGCCGCCGTCCACCGTAAGTCGTCTCCGACGAGCCGCTCCAGAGGCCGGCGGCGCGTGACCGGCGCGCCGCGGTGAAAGCGGTACGATTAATCCACAGAATTAATCAGGACAAAAAGCGGTGTGTGACGGTGAAAGCATCGCCGCCACCGGCGCGCCATGCAGCGGGGGAGGGGGAGGGGAGGGTTCATGAGGCCCGCTCAGGTCACGGGAGGAGAGCGGGGATAGCTTTCGGGTGCGGAGGCGGACGGCCGTGGGCAAGCCAGGGGTGGGCAAAATGGTCGTGTTTGCAGGAGTTGGTAGGCTTCGTACAGGCTCCAGCAGTCAAGTGTTTCCTTGGAAAAGTGTCTTTGGATTAATGTTATGTCGTAACTGGTGACCTTTTTGCTGGAGCACACCAGCCCTCTCCCCCTCCCTCCGGTGATCCGATATGCCTCCCTGCTGGGACTGGACGTGATCCACCCATGTACTGGATCGACGCGTTTGGTGATCAGCCAACAGGCAGAGGAGGGTGACCGGGCAGCGGGCAGTGGACAGCGGAGGGCCGTGTGACCAGACAGTGGGCAGAGGAGGGCGGGTGACCGGGGAGCGGACAGCGGGCAGAGGAGGGCCTGGTGACCGGGCAGCGGGCAGCGGGCAGAGAAGGGTCGGGTGACCAGACAGCGGGCAGAGGAGGGCCGGGTGACCGGACGGCGGGCAGAGGAGCGCCGGGTGACCGGACAGCGGGCAGATACGGCCCGATCTCCGGCCGGGGCTGGGCTGAGGCCCGACTGATCTCCGGCCGGGGCTGGGCTGAGGCCCGGCTGATCTCCGGCCGGCCGAGGCTGAGCAGCTCTCGCGTATGACAGACCTTGCCTTGGGGACGTTCGGCGGTACTCTCAAACACCGGCGCGACAGAACGGTGTGTCCGCGTGTCTTCACCTCGCGAAGGCGACGGATCCACCAGGGCCCTGTTCGGCCAGGCTTTGGCACCGTGTCATGGCCTTCCCAGACCTTGGCATGGACATCGCGACGGCGGATCGCGGGTTCCTTCGACCGTCTGCGGTCGCGCTCTGGTCTCAATCAGCGTGTGACAGGAGATTAGGCCGAGGTCCCAATCAGCGTGTGACGGGAGATTAGCCCGAGGTCTCAGGTGGAGCCATCGGGACGCTCCCCTGGTGCGCTACCCCGCCGACCGGCCCCCAGACGCTGAGATGGAGGCGGGATGGCCGCACAGCTGTGTGGGATCATCTCGCTGCGCGCGATGCCGTCTTTCGGGGCGACTGAACCGTTGGGTCGAGATGATATTTAAGTCGACAGCGCACCTGTGGTGGATCACGGCGAATGCCTAATCCTCAAATTGGTCTCCATTTGTAGTTTCGATGGAAGCTGCTGCGAGCCGGCGGCTTTAGCGGATGTCGGCCGGGGAGCCGGCTGGGAACGGACGGCTCTGCCCGCTGGATGTCTCATGCAGCGGCCCACCGCGCGAGGGGTTCGGCGTTCTGATCAGGCTCCCAGCGCACACCCGCCGACAGCTCGCGCAGCTTCAGTGACACACACTGCACACACACACACACGTCGAACATAAACATCAGGAAGGGTGCTATGTGTAGCGCACCGAACACCGCGAACTGAACGATTGCAATTAACGTGGTGATTACGTGCTCCCCAGGAGCTATCTAAATAACAGGCAGAGTGACGGGTCGGATGACCGCGCATCCAAGCCTTCCTTTCCGACCAGGGGACGTGGCCATCAATTTGCCTGCGTCCGCCTGGCATCAATTTGCGCTATCGGGCAGTCCAGTGTGCCGGTCGATAAAACAATAATGCCGGATGGGGCCCCGGGCGGGCGCACGCGCGGCCCAGCAGCGTGGCCCCGGCGGCCGCACCGGTGCACTGAAACGACCCACCCGTACGTGCATTATGGTCCGGCCGACGCACTTTGCTGGACAGAGGTAATGATCCAGCCATTGCTCTTGGACAGGTCGTGTGTGTGGCTGTGGTATCAGCGAGAGGGCGACCGGGACTGTCCCCAGCACCGCCAGCTAACGCCGCCACCTTTGCAGACCCGGAGCTGCCTGGCTGGGCCAAGGGGGACGTGGACTCGTTCGTGCCGCACGTCTACACGGCCGACGAGGACGTCCACGTCCGGCTGGCGCTCTTCACCGCCGACCGGTACGTTCTTCACGGGACATAGCGGGCAGGCCGGCCGATGGCTGGCGGCGGGGTCACGTGACTTGGGGATGGGCTGGACCGGGCCCGCCGTGGCGCACAATGGGCTCTGATTGTGTAATGCGCCGGGTGTAACGCCACGCTGCAAGCGGCGGTCTCGCTGAGGCTCAGCAGCCGTCGGTGAGATGAGATGAGCCGACTGTCTTCACATGCGATCTGGCTGCGGTCGGACCGCGCTGCGGACTACGATAAACGGCGCGGTGCTGACGCCGAGGCAGCGCTGGTCAACGCATCATATCCACTAATGAACTCAGGATTCAGAGGTTTCATGAGCTGATCAATGATGTGATATGGACTGCGCCGCAACCGAAACACAAAGCTCAGATGCACGGTGGAAATTCAGGTCGTGGAACTTGTAACACCGTTCATCCCATGTGGGAACGTATCACTGCAAACTTATGTAGCACTTACATGCTTTGGAACCCACATTCCACATAATAGTGTTGACCTTAGCTTTGCAAACATTGTTCGCAGATTACTGTTTGCTTAACGCTCATAACGGCTTATCTACGCCTCAGGCGTACCACTTTCCGAGTCTGCCGCACGTTGTAATGGGGTGGCGTAGCTTAAAGGAGCACTTTGTGTGTTGTCTGGAGGAAGGAAGCAATGCCGCCGTTCGAAGTTGGGGGGGAGGGGGGGGGGGATCCACGGGACTGTTGGCCGTTCTGGCAGTCGGCTCACCCGCACTGACGGCTCACCCGCACTAGCGGCTCACCTGCACTGGCGGCTCACCTGCACTGGCGGCTCACCCGCACTGGCGGCTCACCTGCACTGGACGGCTCACCTGCACTGGCCTTGGCTCACCCGCACTAGGGCGGCTCACCCGGGCTCACCTGCACTGGCGGCTCACCTGCACTGGCGGCTCACCTGCACTGGCGGCTCACCTGCACTGACGGCTCACCTGCACTGGCGGCTCACCCGCACTGACGGCTCACCCGCACTAGCGGCTCACCTGCACTGACGGCTCACCTGCACTGGCGACTCGCCTGCACTGAAGGTTCACCCGCACCGAGGGTTCACCTGCACTGACGGCTCACGTGCACTGACGGCCCACCTGCACTGGCGGCTCACCTGCACTGGCGGCTCACCTGCTCTGGCGACTCGCCTGCACTGAAGGTTCACCCGCACCGAGGGTTCACCTGCACTGACGGCTCACCTGCACTGGCGGCTCACCCGCACTGAAGGTTCACCTGCACTGACGGCTCACCTGCATCGGCGGCCCACCTGCACCGAGGGTTCACCTGCACTGACGGCTCACCTGCATCGGCGGCTCACCTGCACTGAGGGTTCACCTGCACTGACGGCTCACGTGCACTGACGGCTCACCTGCACTGACGGCTCACTAGCACTGACGGCTCACCTGCACTGACGGCTCACCTGCACTAACGGCCCACCTGCACTGACGGCTCACCCGCATCAGACAGCGAATGCACAGCGTGCGATTCCAGTATTTCAGCTTGTTAGTGCACAGTACGGAGCGTTCCGGTACCTTACTTGTTAGTGCATAGTACGGAGCGTTCCGGTACCATATTCCGGTACCATATTCCGGTACCATATTCCGGTACCATTCGTATTAAGTAATGGTGGGACTGAAATGCTTCCGTGTTCCGACCATGGGATCTATCGCCGCTTGTCAGGGCTGCGGACAGCGGTACAGAGGAGTCGGGGGAAGAGCCGCCGGCACCGGTTCCTCCGGCGCGCTACCTGCGCTGTGTGGCCGGTACACCGCTCACCGTGCTGCAGAAGTTTGTCCGGACCAAGTTCCAGATGCCCCAGACAGTTCAGGTGAATAGTTGTTTGCGGTCTACGAATGTCTGTTTTGGCCCGTTCGGAGGGTCTGTTTTGAGAACCTCTGAAGTCTGGTCGCAGTTTGTGATTTGCTTTATTTCCGTGCGTAACTGCGGGCAAAGGCTGCACAGGGCAATGGCGGCTGGTTGTCTCACTGGTGATCAAGCCCGGTGGAAAGTACTCTGTTTGGACAAGTTATTGACACTTTTTCGTCTTCCTTACGTTTGTATGTCCTGATGTCACTCCGTCTGCCGGTCAGGTCCAGCTGATTTACGGCAGCCACGTCCTTCCCGACGATATCAGCCTGATGGACCTCCAGTACATGTACAACCCCAGTCAGGTAAGCATTCAAACTGGCCGTCATATATCCTCGTGCACTTAAACAGACATAATCCATATAATTTTGCCAATAATTGTTTAGTGCTTTTGCAAGGGAAGTTATGCACATAGATACGAAAATGGTAATAGCCTTATTTCACGGGGAAAACCCAGGAGCATGAAGACGTAAGTGCGTTGATACTTCGGCAATATACCTATATCGCAACGAACAGGAGAAGTGAATTCAAAATTGCGTGCCGATGATCCTGCTCGATTTTTCGTTTTTTTTTTTAAACAGCGAGCGGCAGCTTTTTTCGTCGGTGGTCTGTAAAACTGTAGCCTGGGTTTAAGAAAAAAAACCCTGAAAAATGGAGCAGGATCATCGGCAGGCAATGTCAAATTCACTTTTGCTTTGGTTTCTATGAAGGCGTGCTGCCGAAGTATCGACGCATCTGTATTTCCATTCTCTTAGTTTTTCTCCGAGGAATAAGGTTATTACTGCTGTCTTATCTCACGCTACCATCGGTGAAACATCAGAGGCCGTTAAACTGTTCTCTAGAGCCTATTTTTATATCGTAGTCGGTACCGCAGTATGTATGCATCATGCTGCACTGTATTGCTTCGTTATAGTATTCTCGGTATCTGTACAACCGGAGACCAAAAGTTTTAAACACATATTTTGACGCCAACCAGTTTTCCTATCTCTCCAGCATGCGCAAATTTAGAAAACAAAAGTCTTTGCGCTCGATTGCAGACCGCGTGACGTCAAGTCTTACATTAAGCCCTGAGATGAGAATGGCTCAGCGCCGGCACTAGTGGCCAGTGCACCAGCACGTCAGCACAACCGGATCAAAGCACACAGCTTTGCAGCTCCTCCTTTGATGGCTTGATATGCTCTGCACAAGTGCTTGGGTCGGCCAAAGCTGCCGCTTATTCCAATTGGTCGCTCAGGTTGTTGGCTGAAGCACTGCCCTGTATTTCCGAGTGGTCATATTCATGCGATGCGAAGCACCACAGGATTAGGCAATACAATGTGTTGGTCAGAGTTTTTATATCAGCACCAGTCTTTGAAAAGTCCCAGTCATCCATCGAAACTAATGTAACCGAGCCACTGGAAAAATCTTCACTATTGATAGCACCATTCGGATCTCAGCCCAGCGTCTTAGAATAGTTACGAGAGTCACGTAACGTAATCAGCTATCCTCCCGTGGCTTTCAGGACGCTGCCGTCTGCTTGTCGTACCGCTTCGTCAGGCGGCAAAGGCGCACGGCACCCGCGGAAGCCGAGCTGGCGGAAGAGATTGCTGACAAGCGTCCAAGAGAGGACCAGGAGGAAGCGGATGTGTCAGACACCAAACGACAGAGAACGGAGGATGCAGACGCACCAGACGCTAACATGCAGACATCAGAAGGAGGGGACCTACTTGATTGTAAACCACACATGGAAGAGGGAGAGAAGGCGCCAGGTGCCCAGCGGCAGGAGGCGAGTGAGAAACAGACGCCGGATGTCCATCGTCTGACCGCAGACCTCGAGACGCTCAAGAGGCCACTGGTCCTGCTCGAGCGGATGTTCGACGTGGAAGACGAGGAGCCGACATCGCCGCAGATTGTGGAGGATATCATCGCCAGCCTGGACGCGGCGGAGGAGGCAGCGGATGAGGCGGCGGAGGAGGCGGCGGACAAGCCGGTGGACGAGGCGGCGCCAGACCCCGTCGTGAGCTCCCCGCTGCCAGCAGCGATCGCAGGTCAGGCGACTGACCCTGCGGGCGTCCGCCAACCCGACGAGCCCCGCTCTGCCGATCCGGCCACTCCTGCCCTGGCCCCGGCGCCGGAGAGCCGGCCAGGGCCTGGCGGACAGGCGTGTGGTGAGGCGAGGGAGTCGCGGCTGCCGGCGTCGCCCGCCGCATTACAGACGGATACAGGCGTGCCGAGTGTTAACTCCGAAGACCATACGGTGGACGATGGCGCCGACTCCACTGTTCAGCGCGCCAGCGGTGACGACTTCCAGAGGCCGGCGTCGGTGGACGTTGTCAGCAGTGGCGACTTCCAGAGGCCGGCGTCGGTGGGCAGTGTCGGCAGTGGTGACTTCCAGAGGCCGGCGTCGGTGGACGGTGTCAGCAGTGGCGACTTCCAGAGGCCGGCGTTGGTGGACGGTGTCAGCAGTGGCGACTTCCAGAGGCCGGCGTCGGTGGGCAGTGTCAGCAGTGGCGACTTCCAGAGGCCGGCGTCGGTGGGCAGTGTCAGTAATGGCGACCTCCAGAGGCCGGCGCCTGCTGGCGGTGGCACTAGTGACGACTTCCTCAGACCGGCGCCAGTTGACGGAGTTAGTGCAGTGTGCCCTACAGCGGCCGCGGCGCCAGAGGAGGCAAAAGCGGCTGAGAAGGAGGATCGCACCAGGGACAGGCACTCGCTCGACACCGCAGGAAAGGCTCACGTCCGGGACAGCACCGCAAATAAAATCGACAAAACAGTGCCTGCGCCCAGAAAAAGCACATCTGTGTGTAGTAAAAAATCGGCGCTGGTCAAAGGCGCCATAGATACGTCTGACAAAGCGTGTGTAACGCCTATCTCAAGTGAAAATGCGACGGGGCCAACCAGCAAGGTACCTACACTGATCAGGGATGCGGATAAGAGAGCTTTTCAATATCCGACATCGAGAGGCGCCGCCAGGATCGAGACCAGCAAGCCCTCGCGCTCTCAGGCGAAAGAGGCGAGTGTCGCAGCCAGCCCGGCGCCGGCGGGCGGTGGCCGCGCTCGAGCGAGCGGAGCGCCGGCCCGGCACGCCAGTGTCTCAGCCGGTGAAATCCCGACGCCGGCGAAAGCGACCAGCGGCGCGGCGAGTCTGCTGGGGGCGCTGACCGCCACCTCGCCAGCGCTGCGGGGCTTCAGCGCCATGGGTGCTGGCGAGCGAGAGGGCGAGGTCAGGATCGAGCGCGTGCCAAACGTGTTCGTGCAGGCGGCGATGACGGGCCAAGGGAAGGGGCACTTTGGTGCGGAGCCGGCGAGCCCGACGAAAGTCGACTGTTCGGTGCAAACGACGCCCGTCAGCAGAGACAGTTCGTCAGGAGAGACGACGAGGGGCGCTAGCTCTGCCCCGCCGCGCATGGTAAACACCGGAACGGAGACGTCGGGGCTTGCGTCGGGGAAACGACCCGCCTCCTCTCGCCCGCCCAGCGTCGGGTCCAGCCAGGCCGCGTCGTCCAAAAAGCAAGCAGCCGGTGTCAGCCATACCAGACCTTCCAGCACGCCTGCGTCGAGGCTGGGAGCGGCGCCCCCTGTCGTCAGCATCCCCAAACCTCTGACGCCAAGCGGAGTTTCCCCATTGACGCACAAAGCTGCGCCAGTGGTACACAAAGCGTCCTCTGCCAGCGTGCTGAAGGTCCCCCATATATCCAACAAATACCTGTTGAACGCGCGTGCCTCAACGTCTTCGAAACCCCATCTGAAGTCGAAAACATCACGCAGTAGCAAGGTGAACCAGGCCAAAGGCGCAAGTGTGTCATATTCTTTGTGGAAAAACGCAAGCCAAACATCATCCACGGGAATGATGCGAGCAACGGACACCACTTCCACATCATCAGCAAAGCGCCCAAGCACTCATTCATCTAGTGCGTTACCACTGGACCTGTCTACGCATGTCCGGAAAGCAGTTGCCGCGGACTCCACTTCGATGCTGGCGAAGACGCCGTCACCGCCTCCGAAGGCGAAGCCGGCGAAGCCGAAGTCTGCGAAAGCTCAGGGCACGCAGACCATCCACTCGATCGTGAGCAGCCTGGCCAGCAGGCAGCACATCTCGCTGACGCCCGTCACCGCCATGTCCGGCTCCTCCAGCAAGGCCTCACCGCTGGCCTCCCGAGCTCCGACCCCCCGCCCGCCGCTCATCTCGACCCCACTTGCCCATGCCGCTGCCGTTGCCAATGCCGGAGTACTCTTTCGCGCCCGGCGGCATGTTCAACCCTCAGCTGCACGTCAACACGAGCATGGCCAGCCGCTTGAGCTACGACATGGCCATGCGGAACCTGCTGACGCTCTCCCACATGGCCATGGCCCAGGGCGGTATGGTCCGTCCGCCCATGTTTCCCATGCAGGCCATGTTCCCGCCTCGGCCCAAGAGCCAGGACTTCCACCCGATCCCAGACCCGTCGCTGCTGCGGCAGCAGTCCGAGGCGCGGATGGGGGCCGCCTCCAAGAAGGCGTCGCCGACGGCGGGCAGCACGGCTCCGCAGCTGCGGACTCCGACCGCGCTCACGTCGGCCTCGATCCAGCACATGGAGGACCTGACGCGGACGCTGGGCAAGCGGCCCGAGAAGCAGCGTCACTCCGTCACCGTCACCGCCATACCCTCCAGCGAATGAAGGCATTAACCTGCCACGCTAGTCTCTGCCTGCGAGTACGCACGCTAAGGCTTCACACCCTTCTCTTCCCCCGTCCCCCTGCCCCAGCAGCCGGCTCGAAGAACTGCGCTAGACTGCTGGCCACGGGCGGACGCATTGCGGTGTGCGGCATCGCACGCCCTCGGCGCCAGTTTACACCTGAATCGCCGTGACCTTTGAAGCGTGCCGCGCCGTGCCGTGCCGTGCCGTGCCGTGCCGTGCCGTGCCGTGCCGTGCCGCTCCGCGCCGTGCCGTGCCGTGCCGTGCCGTGCCGTGCCGCGCCGCGCCGCGCCGTGCCGTGCCGTGTCGTGACTTGACGGCAGGCAGGCAGGCAGGCTGGGTGCCTGCAGCGGCGCCCATCGGCGTGACGGACCGCGCGGGTGACGGACCCCGAGCGCCTCCACCGGCACCCCATGGTGCTCCCGTCTCTGGTCTGGCGGAGGAGGGCGGGCTGGAGAGCGGGGGTTGCCGACAGCACTAGGCTATTTGCGGTGCGAAGAGCACCGCTATCAGGCGGCGTGCCTAACGTGGCTCGCGTGTTTCTGCGGTGCTCTGGACAGTAGTGCCACATCAGGGCGGGCGTGGTGCGCTTCGACCATTCGTATAGAGATCTCAGTCAGAACGCAGGCAGTGTGTCTGTAGCGGAAAGTGCAATTTGTAATGGTTTGTGCATAAAGATAGCTCGCTTCCACGGCTCATGATGCCCAATTGCGGTGCAAATGTACAGGTGAATGCGGTGGACTGTGTCATCCCGATGATTGTCATACGACATGACCTTTCTCGCTCTTGTGCTTGATATTTTATTGAATACGTCATGTTACGCATTTAGGGATACACTTTTGTTGAGCAAACCAAATATAGATGTTTATTGTGTACCATGGTAAGCCAAATACATATGTCGGTATGAAGTAGACCCATTGTGTTCGCGGTCACTGACATGATAATGCGTCACATTCTAAATATGGCTACGAATTAGAATTTCACATTCTAAAAATGGCTACGCACGGCATCTCAACCGACATGAACCATCGAAAGTGACGCTTCTGCCAGCTTTATGTCCGGAATTATTCGCTGGAGAGATCGTTATTGCAGACAGAAGACATTGTTATGATCACGCCTGACAGAGGCAGCTCGTGAACATCACGCGATCAGAAGCCATGAATGAAAACAAACACGCGTGTTGCGCATGCACCGAGGAAACATTGAACCAAGTTACATCCGTTTTGACACTTAACCGTCCACACCTGCGCCCGATTTTGCATTCGCCGATTTCTATTCAAAACGCCCCAAAATGTCGAGGGGGATAAGAGCTTACACGTGTCACAGATTCGGTAATAATTCTGAGCATAACACAAATGTTATTGAACAGTGATGAATCGATGACGTATATAATTTCACGCGCGTTCTAGAATTCCAAGCCACTGTCTCGCAGAACTCCAAAACGCAAGGCTCTATTGCCACTGACCGAAGTTAAAGTACTTGGTATACGGACTCCATTAAGGTGCCATGCTGTTAATGGGACATTGGGACATATGCCACCGGGCTCACCACGCTGCCAATGTGTCACGAGGAACTTATGACACGACCGCTGGGCTTGCAAGAAATTTGGCTCGCGTTGCCATGAATTTTTTTGACTATCTTACGAAAAGATTTGGGGATTTCCAATATTTACCAGAATTCGGCCATTCTAAAGCTCTCTCATTTTTTTCCGCGAACGTGTAAAATGTCCTTATTTAAACGGGATATCCATCACCCAAACTACTTGACAGCTGAAATGTATCCACTTTTATAGTTTCCTTCCGGCTGTAGCTCTATAAACTAAAGTTTTGCCACAACACGATATTGAAACCGCGTGTTTACCTTTCATAGGGCCTGTTATAAGGCAAACACTTTGTAAAATTATTACAGTGTGAAGGGGTTCCTGGCGAGAAAATAAGATGGAACTTAAGGCAAGCGGGTTTGTCTCAAGTTTATACGTATTCACCTCAATGTATTGGTTTTGATAGCCCCACACACTTTCCAAAACTGAACCAATATCGACACAACGTTTGCAATTACATACATGGAATGTTAAAGCCATCCGTCTTTGACTCATGCTGCATCTTTTCTTTGACAGTTCATTAATATTTGTGCTGTACTCCTTCTGAAGAACTTTGTCGTAGAAAGAATCCTATGGCAAGTTAATGCCTCGTATCTGCCCGTGATACGGCGCAATTCCTTCCGTAATCTAGATCAAAACAATATGTCGGCGCTATTAACTATAACACCAACTATCGGCGGGGACAAGTATTCAAGGCATTGGAATCCACGACTTGTTCATCTTTTCATAAATAATCGCTAGCTTTCAGATTGAGACTAATCGTCTAAATTGTGGCATTGCGCTGCTTGAGTGCTACACGATATCTCCGCATTGATTGCGACCTATTTTAATATACAAGGCACAGTATGCTTGATAGAAATCGCTCATGCAGAAAAACCTATACATGATAAAAGCTGCAATTATTGCTGCAAGTCTATGTTGACCATTAGCAAACGTAGCTGGCTAAACGGAAAAGTTGAGTCTTCTGACTAGTTTTTTAATATCTTTTCAAGGAGACCGGGCCCATCGAAATAGTGTTATTAAGTTTTCGCTAAAACAAATGCCAAATTAGGCGTCTGAAAGTCCCCCTTTTAACCATAATACATTCTGGTCACCTGACATCATTTCAGTTTTGCGTTTCGTGTTTGATGGCAACATTGTGGAATGAGACGGTGCAATAACTGAAGTACCGCTATGTAACATTCGCCGCTCAAGAGCCTGTGTTGAGGCCAGATATGGTGAGTCGTGAAATGCAGACGGAAAGCTACTAACAGGATGAATAATGTCAAGAGAGTTGAGAGTTTACCTCGCATCGTTCTACACATCTAATTTGCAACTGAGTTTTTGAATAGAGTAGATAAAAACCCCGATAACCAGTTTCTCCTGGGTGGTATCGAATGCATGGCTTGCTGTTAACAGCGCCGAAAATCGATTGGCTGAACCCATGTTTTCACCGCACAAGCCATTTGCTTTGCTCAGCAGCACCAGACCTTCTGAATGATATTGGGTTATTTGGCTTGCAGCTGGATACCGGCGACCAGGACGGTGAATCATTTTGATGTCTAATGACTTTTGCGATGTGATATCTAGCATTAATTGCCAACCACTGCAGCTGGACCAATCAAATTGTGCTACTGCTCAATGCAAACTGGCGGGACAGCTGTTGCTAAATCATCGGCCGACCTTACAATATCATGATTCATTCAACAGTGAAACTATTGGTGCCACTTGCAAACTCGCGTAGGGCAATCTGTGATAGCCTTTCACGCTGGTGTATATGGTAATTGTCACCGCCCGTTTGATCCGCGCCTTAAAGAGACTTCTGCGGACGCAAGGGCAGTCGCGATTGATTTGAATCTTCCTAGCGGTGATGGCAAGCTAGCTGCACCCGACCGCCGCGTGCAGCAATCGTCAATTACCGTCCAAATATTTCGACATCACGGCACGGCGGGGAGCGGTATGGTGGGGGGGGGGGGGGGGGAGGGAGTGCGTCCTGTCATGGTGGTCAGGGGGGCGGCGGGCGGCCTGTACCTGATGGGCAGGAGCGGGCTGGGTGGCGAGCGTCTCGTCAGTGGGATGATGGATGCGGTGCGGGGACGTCGATTTGTGTAAATAGTTGGAGCGGGGGGGGGGGGGGGGGCGCATCCAGGACCCGACAACCTAACTACCCCGAGACGGGTGTGCTCTATTCACTTAGTCGACTTGTCTGGAGAAATGAAAACCTTGCATCATTTATGAACTACACAATTATTTGAGCAGCATGCGTTCATTACAGCGAAGATTGTCCAACAGAAGATCAGCTCTGTATTGGTTATTAATGTTTTATGAAAATGATTTTCTCGTAATATTTCAAGCATGTCCTGTCTTGTGATATGTAAAAATAAAATAAGTTTTGGTGTTCATTCAAACATAAGGAGTCTCCATAAGCATCGCAGGACGAGCGTTCTCATGACAGGATACAAATCGACGCGGCGCGTTTGGAGCAGCAGAGCAGCCCAGTGGAGGACGTCGCCGTCACGGCAAGGACGCCGCGGCGTAGCGGATAAGGCGACCAAGGTTTGTATACGCTATGATGATGAAGGGTGGTTGAACGGTGTTGTGCGTGGGTTGGTCCCCATAACATACATAGGCGGGAAGGGAAAGTAAGCTTTCCCATTTACAGTTTTGTTGCGCTCTTGGAGAGTTTTTAATGAATTTTCTTCAAACAGAAGAACTTCAGAGAACTTCATCCTGACGAAAGAAGATAGCAAAGCTGTAATACAAGCGTCGGCACCCGTGTCACCTGAGCGCGGCTGAGAGCATGATGTAGCGCCAGTCAATGCCGTCCAGACCCGCCGTCTGCGCTCCTTCCGGCGCGTGCTGCCGTGCGGTCCCCCTCCCAGTCACGGCGGCTCCGCTCCCGCCGCCGCTCAGTGTCAGCACGCGTAGCTGGCGCTGATCCGAAAGCCAGCACACAGCCGCTCCCGGCGCGTGCTGTCGTGTGGTCTCCCATCCCAGTCACGACGGCCCGAGTTCAGCAGTGCGGGGCAGGAGGTGCCGCCTGTGGCTGCGGCGGGCGGTACGGCAGCGCGGGGCGGGAGGCGCTGCCCGTGGCGGTACAGCAGCGCGGGGTGGGAGGTGCCACCCATGGCGGTACAGCAGTGCGGGGCGGGAGGCGCCGCCCGTGGCGGTGCAGCAGCGCGGGCGGGAGGTGCCGCCTGTGGCAGTGCAGCAGCGCGAGGCAGGAGGTGCCGCCTGTGGCTGCGGCGGGCGGTACAGCAGCGCGGGGCGGGAGGTGCTGCCCGTGGTTGCGGCGGGCAGTACAGCAGCGCGGGGTGGCAGGTGCCGCCCGTGGCTACAGTGGGCGGCGCAGCAACGCGGGGTGGGAGGCGCCGCCCGTGGCTGCGGTGGGCAGTAGAGCAGC